AGTCTGGACTCTGATTGAACTCATGTAGGTTTTATTTTGGGCTGTCACACGATTCAAAATGTTAATCTAGTTAATCACAAGGTTTCTTGAATTAATTTAGATGAATCACATTCCTAAATGTTATTGAAAAATTCACATTTTTGGAAAGATAAATGACAAGAAGTGGACATTACATTTAGATTTTATTAATGACAAACCACAACATGTTTGTTTACTCTTCCATCTTTGTTTTTTTATACCCGAACTGTCCATCTAGTGGGTTCTTCAGACTCCGATTGCTCACGTTAAACAATTGAACTGTGGGTAAAAAATCGCGTTGATCATCTTGTGTTTATGGGTTCATTTTGAGAGCCCTGGTTTTATTATTTGTCATTTGCATTAGACATTCATATCAAATAGCTAAAACCAGAAACAGGAATGAATCATGGAGCTTTGTTGGTCAGGTTAAAGGACCTTAAAAAGTCCTGGAAAAGAATCTCAGATGTTTAGAGCAAACCTGGAGAAGTCCTGGTCGGGACTTATGAAGATGGTGAGAAGAACAATGCAGGACACGAAGGGGTGGAGTAAACGAAGAAGCAAACTGGTTACGTCTGGAGTTGGAACTGTAGTAAAATGTCCGTTTTTAAAGCCCAGGGTGGGATTCTCAGCTGAGGAACTCAAATGTGGGCGACCTGTTCCCACGGGCGTCCCGCTCCCGGGGCCTTTTACCGTCATCTGGAGCCCAAACAAAAGCCACAAAGATTAACTCCTTCCCTTCAGAGGTCCTACTGACCCCCCCCCGCCCCTCCTCTGTGTGGGAAGAGTGAGTGAGTTTTGTTGCAGCTCGTCTGAACAGACCAATTTAGGGTGAGTGACACTGGGGAGAATGTTTGGGCAACAGATGCTGGAACAAAGCCCTCCCCGCACACAATGGCCCGCTCAGATACTTGTGACTGATTTCCATCCATTAACACAAAGTGGAGCAGAAGTTGAGGTCCTCCCCTTTGGGTTTGTGGTTTGTTTTTTTTCCTCCCAAATCGCAACTCCGGACGCACAAAAATGACCCAATCTACCCAAAAACTGACGACTGGAGAGGAAGATTTCAGGGAAGGTCCCACTTTTTACACATTTAAAAAGCACCTTAAACTGTTTCTCAAAAGTTCCCAGTCATGCAATCACTCATTTTAATTTCGTAATGTCATCGTCTGAACGTGTGTCTCTCTGTTTTAACTGATATTGTATTATGTGATTTTGTGTTGTTTTGTCTTCCTGCATCAGGATGACAGATGCGAATTAGCAACTATGGTAGAATCTGGCTCATTTACAATCTGTATGAGATTGTTCATTATTGTGCCCTGTCCTGATTAAATAAAGAAAGAAAGAAATAAATAAATAATAAAATAATTTACCAGGGATTTGGTTTAAAAGCGTGGCCCGGTGTGCTGGTATTCGGAGGAGGGCCGGGATGGGATCTCACTG